CTCAGAAATTCGACACAGAGCGTGTAAGTGGCAGATAGACAGCCACTCAGACAAATGGTTGGGGAAGTCCTACGAGGCCATTTGGCGAGTGGCAAAGTCACAGTGAGTCAGTCAATGGTGTATGATTGCTGTTTTCCCTGCAGTCTGCAAAGCTGTCACCGGACTAATGCACACTAGTGGAAGATGTAATCTATAGTAAATACAGTTGGCTCCATAGAGCAGCCCTCTGTGGTTTCTACAGATTAAGGTGTCAAACAGAATCACTGGTCAGAGACAGCTGAAGAGTACAGATTATCCCCATGTTTGGCCGATTTGCTGATCTGGTAAATGGTAAATGGCCTGTATTTATATAGCGCTTTACTAGATCTTTATATAGATCTGATGACAAGCCATGGATCCTGCATTTCGTATGTGGGTGTGGTGGTGATATTTTCTTCTGAGAGGGGCACTTCTTTGGTATTTCCTCATTTGATCAAAAATGCCAGACTCTTGGATGTGGAAAAAAGTCCCAGAAGGTCAAATCATTAGCATTAATAATCTTCATCTACTGAACTTTACGTTACGTTATTAAGCTTTTTCAGACCTCCATTCCTAATCGGGGATCATCTCACAGTTACTAATCTTTTTTTTTTTCTGTAAAGGAATTCCACAGCCAAGTAGCTCATAAATAATTCTCATTTTCCTCTACCTTTTCTACCTTTTGCTTATTTTCCTCACTCCTCTCATTATTTGCAAAATATCTGTTCTGTTTCTCAGGCCATGCCACCTTTCCCTTCCCTGTCTTTCCATCTGTCTGTCACTTTAACTGTGCTGCTTTCCTTTATTATAACTTTTGCATTCACTTGTCTGCCTGTATTGTCTTTCGAGGCTGACATGTCTCAAAGCGAAACAGACATTGTTAAACTGAACAGTCATGTCAGTGACATCAATTGTGTTTGTGCATTTGCTGAAAATGGCCCTGTGCTTGAAATGACACATGCTGAGATGCCAAGTGAATTTACAATTAAGGTGTTTTTTCCTTTTTCATGAGCATCTGTCTTCCACCTTTCCAGCCATTAAATCTATATCCCCTGGACATCTTCTTCTATCACTCACTGTCTCTATCAGTCTTTCGGTCTGTGACTCTTCCTCTCATTCTCAGCGTTTTCCAATCTTTCAAAATCTACCCTCCCACCCACACTTTTTTGCACACATATACTCACACACGCACCACCTCCTTGCTATTCCTGAGAGGAGCAGACTGGTCTGGCAGTGGGTTGGTTTATGTCCATGAACTCAGTGACACCCTTGCTGCCGCTGCATTACACCAGGCTGGCATCACCACAGCAAAGTAGCCGTACTGCAGTAAAGGAGGAAGACAATGTGTACATCCACACAATATATGTGTACATGGGGACTGCATGTAATCCCCTCTCCCTGTGTAGCATATCAAACCACATATCTTAACCATGAAATCTATATGATCTCACACATCCCAAGTCATATGAGTGTGCTACAAGTGCCTCACCCCTTCTGTCTATGTGCATGTCAGGCTCTTTAAACACTTGTGCTGATACCACAGTGCAGACGACAGCTTGCACACGTGCCACTTGACTGCCCCTTGTCATCTCCCCTCCCCTCTGTTTGTCTTACAGCTAAAGGAGGGAGTCACAGACTGTGTGGTTAATGTGTGTGTGTGAATTAGAGAGAGTGCACGAGAGATCGTTGATGTGCATATACATACGTATCACTCATATGGTAGTATCCTAATTATAAATGCACTTGGTGACCTTACGTTTATCACTACGATTGTGTTTCCTCTAGCTGATGCAGGCCTGCTGTCGCAGTGCTAATGTGTGTGTGTGTATGAGTGTCACAAACTCAGCATCAGAATGAGGTATAAGATTACCCTGATGGTACAATCTGTCTAACCGTCATCATAATGGAGTATCATTCCACAATGACTAACACTCAGCTGAAGACTGTCGGATCAAATCTCCAGCTTGCGTTTGTTTGACAGGGTTCATGTGTGAGCCCTATAATTTCAGTTAAACCCCCGGCAAGGTATTTGAGTTAACTTGTGCCATGACTAAGATGCCCATCACTGTTCCTCTAGCAGCTTGAGAGGGAGGAAACCAAGCAAAGGCTTTATTTTTCCTGAGGTACTGTAGATTCAAGAGAAAATTGCCTAAAATCAAACTAATGCACAGTTTTCAGTTTTATTTATATAGCACCAAATCACAACAACAGTAGTCTCAAGACACTTCATATTGTAAGGTAAAGACCCTAAAATAATACAGAGAAAACCCCAACCATTAAACGATCCAAAGCAAGCACTTGGCAAAAGTTGGGAAGAAAAAACTTCCTTTGAGGTTTAAGAAACCTCAAGAACCAGGCGCAGGGAGGGGCAGCGAGGGGAGGGACAGAGGACAGAAGACACAGTGTGGAAGAGAACCAGACATTAATATAGTATTCAAGTATTTAATGACTTCATAGAGGAAATATTCTCTAAAACAAATCAAAAAGTTATGTTTATCTGTGGTGATTTTAATATTGACCTGTTGAATCCAAAAAAGCATAAAATGACCGACGAATTCCTAAACACTATGTACAGTTTGAGTTTACACCCTAAAATAACCAGGCCTAGCAGAAGTACACCACATTGTGCCACCTTACTTGACAATATTTTCACTAACAATATGGAAAACAACATTGTGAGCGGAATATTAATTACTGACATCAGTGATCACCTACCAGTTTTTGCAGTTTATGACACTAATTATAAGAAAAATCAGCATGAAGAACAACTGAGATACAGACGTATAAGGACAGAAGAAACTATGAATGCATTTAAGAACGATCTATTAAATCAGGACTGGGACAATGTGTACAAAGAAACTGATATTGATATTGCATATGGCATATTTTTAAGAATATTCATGGAGTTGTACGATAAAAACTGTCCAACAATAAAATACAACAGAAAGCACAAATATTCAGATAGACCATGGATCACCAAGGGTTTACAAAACGCATGTAAAAAGAAAAATACACTCTATAGGGAATTCCTAAAACAAAGAACAAAAGATGCTGAAAATAAATATAAAAAATACAAAAATAAGTTGACCAATATTATACGTGTATGTAGAAAGGAGTATTATAGTAAAATATTGAACAACAATAAACATAATATGAAGGGAATATGGGATGTTTTAAACGGTATCATTAAAAATAATTCTGGACAACAAAGTTATCCTCAATACTTTATCGACAATGGCAATATTATGGAAAATACTGCTGATAAGGTCAACAGCTTTAATCATTATTTTGTAAATATTGGACCAAAACTGGCAGAACAAATTCCTGAGTCACTGCCATCAGTAGACTGTAGTGAAAACCTGATTGATAGGAACCCTGACTCAATGTTCCTCACATCAGTGGAGGAAAAAGAAATAATTGACATTGTACACATGTGTAAATATAAAACATCTACTGATTGTAATGATATTGACATGAAAATCGTCAAGAAGGTCATTGAAGGAATTGTAGGACCTCTAACATATATTTGGAACTTATCATTTCAGACGGGAAAAGTGGCATACAAAATGAAAATAGCTAAAGTTGTGCCGCTGCATAAAACTGGGGATAGACGCCACTTCACAAATTACAGGCCTGTTTCTTTACTACCACAATTCTCCAAAATCCCAGAAAACCTGTTTAATAAACGATTAGACAAATTCTTAGATAAATATAAATTACTCTCTGACAGTCAATATGGATTCAGATCAAAAAGATCAACATCTCTGGCATTAATCGAATCAATTGAGGAGATTACGAATGCTATAGATCAGAAACAGTATGCAGCTGGAGTATTTCTGGATCTCAAGAAAGCATTCGACACAATCAATCATGACATATGAATTAATAAACTGGAACGGTATGGGATTAGGGGGGTTGTACTGCAATGGGTGAAAAATCATTTAAGTGACAGGAAACAATTTGTGAAGCTGGGTGTCCATTCCTCATCATGCTTGGACATTGCTTGTGGTGTTCCACAAGGCTCTGTACTGGGTCCAAAATTATTTATTATTTATATAAATGATATTTGTAAGGCATCTGATATATTAAAATTAGTATTATTTGCAGATGACACAAATATTTTTTGTTCTGGGGGGAATATAAAGGAGCTGCTGGATACAATTACTTCAGAAATGTGCAAAATTCAAAAATGGTTTAACAGGAACAAACTATCGCTAAATCTAAGTAAAACTAAAATAATCTTATTTGGGAATTCCTATTCTTAAAATCAAAAATTCAAAAATTCACAGATCTGGTTCATTTTCTCACTGCACAAATTATATATAAAGCAATAAATAACCTGCTTCCTGACAATATTCTAAAAATGTTTTCTAAAAGGGAACAGGGATACAATTTGAGGGGGGAATTAAATTTAAAACATCCTCGTGTCCGTACAACATTAAAAAGTTTTTGCATCTCTGTGTGTGGAGTGAAGCTGTGGAACAGACTAAGTAAAGATATGAAGCAATGTCCGAGCATGGCACAGTTTAAAAAGCGGTTTAAGGATATGGTTTTTACAGGGTACAGGGAAAAGGCAGAGATTTGATAGGGTGTTCATGTCTAATATTTTCATGTGTGTGCGGGTGCACGGGTATGTTGGTATGGGTATATGTATATATTTGTAGGTTGTGTATCCTTGAGGTGTTAATGGGGTTATTGAAAATGTGTATATGTGCGTATGTGTATATACGTATGTATGGATAGATAGAAACATATATGTATATATATTAAAAAAAATACACATGACATATAGTGTAATTGCAAGGAGGTATTTCTGTAGCCTATTGATACTAGATAGTGGAAAAGGGGTGGGATTAAATAAGCTTATGCTTCTTCCTGCTCCTTTTTGAACATGAAAGTTATTTGGAGCTGTGGTTGCTCGTTTTCCTTTTGTTTTGCTTTGTTCATTTGTCTCTTTTAATTCTATTTTGTTGTACTTTTTCAACATGTTCAAAATAAAGATTAAATCAATCAATCAATCAATAATAACTAATGTAATAGTTAATCTAATAGCAAATAATAAAAGTGAAAAAAAAAAGTTCAGTGATCATAGGAAGTCCCCAGCAGACTTGGCTTATAGAGTTACCTTATCCAGCCCTAACTCTAAGCTATATCAAAAAGGAAAGTTTTTAAGTGTAATCTTAAAAGTAGAGAGGGTGTTTGTCTCCAAAATCCAAACTTAAGAGGCCTGAAAGCTAAAGGCTCTGCCTCCCATTTAACTTTTAAATATCCTACGAACCACAAGTAAGCCAGCAGTCTGAGAGCGAGGTACTATCAGGTCTTTAAAATAAGATTTGACCTGATTATTCAAGACCTTATAGTATGTGAGGACTTTTAAATGTGATTGTTAGTTCAACAGAGAGGCGATGAAGAGAAGCTAATATGGGAAAAATATACTCTCTCTTTCCATTCCCTGTCAGCATTCTCACTGCAGAACTGCAGATCATCTGAAGGCAACAATCCATTTTTTGTTGTCACTGTGACATTTGATGTTTTCATATAGAGGAAATTAGTTTCCTCTCTAATTAGGACTGCATGTAAACCTTCAATATAACTTGTATTCAGAAAACAAAATCCCTCATGCAATATTTCAAAACAGGTCAGAAACGACACCATTAATCAAGTGTGTTAAGTCATAGCACATTAAATTTCAATTTTGCAGCACAGTGTATCTGTTATTTCCATTATTAAAATGTATTTAAATTGTATGCACCATTCTGGGGGAGGAAATAACCAAACCACCTTTTGAAACTACTTGAATAGATGTGTGGTTTAAAGACCAGACCAGTGTTGCCTCACTGCAAGAAGGTCCTGAGTTCGGTTCCACCATCTGACCTTTCTGTGTGGAGTTTGCATGTTCTCCCTTTGTTTGTTTGGGTTCTTTCCGGAAACTATGGCCTCCTCCCACAGTCCACAGACATGCAGTTAGTGGTCATTCCAAATTAGGTGTGAATGTGAGGTGGGAATCTGAGTGCGAGTGGTTGTTAGACTTATGACAAACTGGCAACTTGTCCAGGGTGTACACTGCCTCTTGCCATATGGTAGCTGGGATTGGCTCCCTAAAAAGGATAAGCGGAAGAGAATGTATGGATGCTGAAATGCTGTTGTATTAAATTAAAGAACTCTGTCAACATGTATCGTAAGAAGTAAAATGACAGAAATCTGTAAGTTAATAACTTTGTCTAAAACTTTTATATCAAAAAGTTGCAGTTACCAGTCCAAAATTGATGTCCTTCACATCCAATGGTCCTTATTGGAGTCTTTGCCGGGCCGATTCTGGCTCCCGGACCTTATGCTTGACACTCCTGCGGCAAAGCTATATGCATATATACAGGCGTTGTCTCCTGCCGTTGCGCTACCCCTGCTCCTAACCACTGCAGCCTCATTAATGGACAGCCCAGTGGCCGTTCCCGATGTCACAGTGTCATTTGAAAACTCTGTGTCTTTCCCTTATATTGCTATGATATGAGGCTGGACCTGACACCATTAACCACTTTGTCCTTGCTTTAAGCATGGTTTATCTAGTTGCCGTGGCGATGGTGACCTTGCAGCACATTACTGGTGGTACTGCAGCATAAGGTGTTGTGTGAACAAGGAATGAGTATAGAGACAGCGAGAAGGAGAGATAGAGGGGGCTGAGACAGTGGGCGAATAAAACGAGGACAGCTACTATTAAAAGACTAGCCACGTTCACAGAGTTGTTTATGTCACATGATACTGCGAGTGCAACTTAGCAGAAGGCGAGCAGATTTGTTTGAAGAATAAAGACTTGGGGAGAGAAAAATAAGTGAAACACTGAAGCATGCATGTGTAAAGAAACAGAAAAGGAGAACAGGTGGCGATTAGGGTACGAGAAATGAAGAGAGATGAGAAATGTTGAAATGATATCACAGCAGAATGCCAGGCGTGCTTTTTAAAACTCTGCTTTTTGCCCTCCCAGCTTTCCCCTTTGATTCCTCCTCTTGCGTACCTGCCAGTTCACACCTTGATTTTCCTGTCTTACTACCAGACACCGACCTCTGTCTCTTACAGACTTGTACTAATTGCTCCTGTTTGCCTCTTATCAATCCCTTTCCAGCTTCTAGCCTTTTCCTGTCACCACCTTTGGTCTCCTTTACTCTATTTGTCTCTCGCAGCCTCCCCACCCCATACAGGCTCTCCCTGATGTGCCTATCAGTATAAAGGGCAGCTCAGGTCGTTTATAGATGATATCCTGGTCAGCCGGTGATGTGGTGTAATATGAAGCGTCCAGCATCTGCTTTTTGCTGCTGCTGCAGTCAGCGCCCTTTAACCTCTCACATTACTGAATTTCCCCTTCTCTTTTTTCCCAGTCCTTGCCTCTTACGCCACCAACTTCTTCCTTAATACCGGCAGTGTAAACTTACTGAACAATTAAATTTGAGCCAGAAGATAAAAATCCCTGTTTCTAACCTGCTGTATTCCCAAAATCCAGAGAGAAAGAGCATAAAAAACAGATTCTGAACTCTTGGCTGAATTTGTAACACTTAAAGAGTGGCTGAACCATCAACTTACTGCATGAACACACAAGACCTTTCAAATGCTAGACAGCAACTCCGAAGGCACTTTAATAGATCAGAGTTTATCCTGTGACTCTCTTGGGGAGTTATGTTTTCAAGCATATTATTTTCTCTTAGTTTCCAGCAAGCTTCTGTTTCTCAGTGAACTGTGTTTGGTAGATCATCCGTAGGAAATCAAACATGAAGGAACCTGCTTTCTAGCTTTCTTTTCTTCACCTTTGGTTTTATTTTTTTTCCCCTTTTCTGGAAGTCATTCAAAGTGAATAAATGACTCAGATCTCTGGCCTGCATTCACAAAAATCTTCCTCATTCTTCCTCTTTTTGTCTGTTCTTTACTCTCAGATGCAGGGCTGCATGTTGCTTCAGTTAACAGCTCAGTTTCATGTGTGTTATGCTCAACAGTCCAAATTAATATTATGGTATGCAACTATATAAAAAATAACACTGACATCATTCTGAGCAACGAATGTATAATTAGTTATATCTATGCTACAAATGGCAGTGTTGTTTTTCTGTTTGGCCTGTCTTTCTGTTTTATTGGCTGGCTTGCCATTTTGGCTCAGACATCCTGACCAACTCCTGATTTAAGTCTCATGAAATTTTACATGAATATTTTCAGGTTTTTGTAGCCTACCTTGAGTTTTTCATGTGTGAGCAGGCTGTGGTTGCATGCAGATAAAAGCTGCGTGTGGCAAGCAAATTAGATATAGCGTCCAGAAACCATGAGCTGTAACTTTTTATTACCTTCTTGTTCTTTATCTGGATGTGGAAACAATGACCAGAGGACAAAAATGGAAATCTTGACTCAAATATTTGGATAACAGAAAGCCACAAAAACATTGGCTGTTGTCCCCAGAGGCAAATTAGGCTGAGTCGCTCATGGGGTCACAGATTTCTCAATTTTGAGCATTACATGCAGCTTCTCACAGACATAACATGATATTATTTTTGTTGAGTCTTATTTTTGTTCAAAGAAGTTGCCAAATCAGTGTTACCTTTGCAATATTATAAAGGTGTTGCAGATATGTTAGTAAGAGGGTCTTAGTAGTCAGTACTTCCACAGCAGGGGTGTCACTCTGAGCTAAATCAGTGTGTTTTTCCTGGTCAGTTGTCATATGCATGAAATAATGTAGAGTTGGGCCAAATGAATGGCACCGTTTTACCAGACAGATTAACACAAGATCAGATGGCTCTCTTTAAACGAGGAGATACGTGAACCCTGGTGACACTCGGCATTACAGTCTGCTTTGTGCTGACCGCATGTCAACAGCTGGGATTGGCCTGGAATGAGACAGAATATTCAGCCAATATTTTATTCTTTTTAATGAACTCTATGTGTGTGTGTGTGTGTGTGTGTAGGGGTGCATGTGTCTGTTTGGGGTTTGAAGAAATCGGGGTGTTTTGTGGGAGTGTAACATCCCCAGGTTTCTGCACTCCAACTTATTACTTTGGCTAGTTGATCTGATGGTGTAATAATATCTTCTGCCTCAGGCTATGGGAAATGGCCACATGCATTATTCACACGTGGTAAGATGTTTATTGATGACTTCTTTATTTATATATTTCCTCTGTGCCAGAGTCATTTCTCACATTTGTTACCTCTTAGTTTTAATCCTGCTTTGAGGTGAGAGTCGACTAAGGTGCCTCACTCCCTTCTTCATGTGGAACTGGCACTAATAATGCATGTAAACGTGGAGCCCCATTACATCTATATTATTTTGTCATAGCTGTTTCATTTAGGATATTCCAGAACCCACAGAAAGCATAACGCTTAACAGAAAACTAGCATGCCATTGCCTTAGGACTCAAGGGTAAGTTTGTCTAATCAAATCCATGTACATTCTCTGTTTGTTTTCTTTTTATCCATGCAGCCTTGCAAATGAGGCATATTCCCTTTTATATGAGCATATGCGAGAGTTCAGTGCAACTGAACTGTGGGGTTATGCTCTGATGTCTCATGTCCTTTGTGCTTAGACCAAATAAAACAAGACTTTTAACCAGGAGACCCAGGATCATCCCCCACGTGGGAATATAGTTTTTGATGCACTTCAGTTATGATTCCATTGTTTTGTGTTACATTGTTTACTTAGGTTACAGAAAAGTACAACTGTTGTCCATTTTCTGGTCATGCTGATCAACACTTTGAAAAATTATAAACATAATATAGTGCATGTGAGACATTTACACTTTTGAAACTACTTTTAATAAATGAAAACAATAAAAAATGTTGAAACTTTGTATTTTTAATGTGGATTTTGAAAAACAAAAATGTTATGTGTCCTTTAAAAATGGTGGTAGGAATGCTGCACAGCTATGGTGGTTAACTCATAGGGTATGATTCTGCAATGGAAATGTTTGCAAGGCTTAGGAACTGTCCTATGAAGAACACTGTCCTGTAGTCTGGCAAATCAAGTTTAAATATGACATCATAGCCACTTGGCTCACAGTTCAAATATAATCAGAGCACATGGGATAGCTGGCACAGGCACATACATGTTATATAATGCATGTTTTCGGAGAAACGTATGCTTCTTTGTATGAAAGTGAAGGTTTTGCTCTGCAAAGGTTCAAACTGAAAGCGTCTGTATGGCAGCCATAACACGAGACAGATGACTTCTGTAAATACTAAGGAAAGGTACTTTGGTGCCTACTTTGTCACACTGCTTACCATCGGATGCACTAGTGCATCTTTAATAAGAGGAAAGAAGATAATGGCTTTAGTTCGGAGAATTCGAAGCTGTTCGAGGAAAAAAATGATTACACAAATCGTTTAAATGTTAATTACCGGTGCATTTCCTACTATAACTTGTAGATTTGATGATATGTTTTAGACATACAACAGTTTGTTATTCTCGTGGGTGAGCTATGGATATCATGCTGTTTTATTAGAATCTGCATTAGTTAGTACCAAGGTTTAATATGTTTTGTCACGGGGTGTAAACGGACTCACGCGCAGACCAGGGATCCTTGCAAGGAAGACAGTGAATTTATTTACTTTCCCGGGTCTGGGAAAGATCTGTACACAGAAACTCCGGTTAGAAACAGACTGATTGCTCAACGATACAGCGATGAGTAGCATCGTGCTGCCATCTTAAGTAGGGCTCGGGATTGCGACGATAGGCAGCAGGTGTGGAGATAGCAGGTGCGTGGGCCAGGGGCGGGAGCCCATAATGAGCACTGCCCCGGCAGGAGAGAGAGAGAGAGAGAAAGAGCAAAAACACATGGTGAGGCACAGGGACCATGACAGGTTTAGAGAGTGTGCTATAAATAAATAGCGTGAATACATACATCAGTACAATAAATTTAAGGTTTACCATCAGTTTCAGCATTGCTCTATTGCCAGACTTCAGGATTATCATTAATTAATTTTAATTCAGTCACAGATGCCGAATGCCTTAATAAAGACTTGAGGTACACTGGATCATCTCCACAGCGGGAAGGGGAAATATAAATCTACAGGATGAGCAACTAATCTCAGTGTGACAAGCATTTTCTTCTATTTTATATGTTTTAGATTCAGCGTTTTAAAATTACAACGGTGGTAATGAGGCAATCTTTTTCAGATGTCCACATTTATATAGCCTGCAAAACAACAAACAAACAAAGACAAACAGCAAGTTAAAGTATCATGGATGTGCTTTTTCTAGTTCATCTTCACAATATTTTCGTTTCAGCTCCAGCAGCTACAACGTACCCACGACATTTGCTGCCAAGTCAGTAAGTACCATTTAGTTGGGTCCTTCGATTTTCTGGTTCTTTATTCCAAAGTTGTTACGAATTCTCTTTCAAGCCTTTGCTTGACCTCGTGATGCTTTGAATTTTAAATCAAGCAGTCAAGATGTGATGGAAGTGCAGACTTTCTGTTTTAATTTAAGGGGTTTAACAAAAGTTTTGCAATAAATGCTTAGGAATTAGAGCCATTTTATACATTTATATCACATATTTAGATGATCAAAAGTAACTGGGCGGACATCATTTTATATCATTTCAAAGAAAATCCTTTGCTGTCAATGAATGTCCAGTCTTGAACCCATGGACATCAGTAATTGCTGTGTTTCCTCTCTGGAGATGCTTTGTAGGCCTTTACTGCACCCACCTTCAGATGCTGCTTGCTTGTGGGTTTCTGCATTTAGTTTTACTTTTAATAATTGAAAAACATGCTCTGATGTACTGAAATCAGGTGACTGATTAGGACACCAAGGAATATATCATGTCTTTGCCTTAAGAAACTCTTGGGTTTCTTGGGAAAACTCTTGGAAAACTCTTGTTAAGGGTTATCCATTTGCACTGTGAAGCACTATCTGACTAGTTTTGCAGCATTTGGCTGAATCTGAGCAGAGAGTATATCCCTGTACACTTCACTGTTCATCCTGCTGCTTTTATCAGCAATCACATGAGCTATAAACACTAGTGACTCAATTCCAGTAGCATCCATAACAGTGCCTCCACTGTGTTTGACAGATGTTACAGTATGCTTCAGGTCATAAACCGTTTCTCTCCATCTCTGAGCTTTTCTTCTCCCATCGCTCTGTTAACAGTTAATCTTGATTTCATCTGTCCAAAGAGTTGTTTTTCTTTTTTCGGTGCACGGCTTCCTGTTCCTGAATGTAACCGGTGGTTTTCCTGACTTGTTAGTTGTAGATGCTTAATTTGTACTTCCTGTACTTCTGTCTGCATACAGGAAGTGTTGACTCACATCTTGACATGTGTGTCTTAGAGATTTCAGCATAAATAAAAACAATGTTTGAATATATGTTGATACCAGAAAGGTCAGGAAAAAAGAGTGGGTGATGTAGAAGACTAATTTTGGCAAGCAGTAGTCATCTCTCTATTCACTCTGCTGCCACTTGCACATATCCGCACTGCCCAAAATATCAGCTTTGGGCTGAAAAAGTAGTTCACGAAGTGACTGGCCCAAATAGGAGCAATCAATGCTTGACCAAGTACTTTCATTTTATTATGCTTTTTCCCTTCCTAAGTCATGTACCTCTTCATTTTTCTTCAAACTGTCATTTTTAACTCTTGGCCACATTGCTAGACTACTGATTAAAAATCTGAAAAAAGTTGGTCCTTGATGCTCCTCTACTGTTAAATATCTGGCATCATTAAGGGTTTTTTTGTGACAGCCCAGTGAGATAAATGCTTTGATTTAATACAACCACCTGAGAGTAAGTTTTAAAGTCATGCTTAAGACTTGATATCTATCCACACAGACTTTGGTGAATTGATTTGCTTGGTTTTTTCTGACTTAGTTTTCTTCCTCTACACACTTTAAATGCTAATTTAACCCCACTGAAACTATACCATGTTTTAGAGTTAAAGAGGCGTTACCTAATACCAGGAATACATATTTAGGAATAGAGCCTCTGTGTGAATCACAGGCCACGGTGAGATTGACTGAGAGGTCACTCTAAATAAGGTCATTTTGAAGTTACCAGAGGACTCCTATCGAGTTGGATGCTTTATATAAACATCATACCACTGTTTCATGATAGCACTGTCACAGAAACATTTCATCTCTTAAAGTGTGGGAGACCTAGTAGTGATGTAATCACTGGTGGGATGTAGGTTTTTGGGCACTTCCTGTAAGCTGTTGGAGATTTGAGGGACAGTCATGTTCTTTCAGCAACCACTTTTTCTCAGATGAAATGCTTTAACTATCGCAGAAAAGAGTCTAACAAAAGTAAAACAAAGAAGCACGTCCCAAATATTTCCCTCTTCTGTAGCGACCTTTATCAAGTCATTGCCTCGTTTGTCCTACCCGGCAACCTTCCAGCAGTGACGCTGGGACCGTCTAGCTTGCTGATAGGCTACTTTTAATCTTACTGGGGATGGGCCGATTGTTAAATCACAAATCAATACTTTGATACTTGAGTGCTCGCCATTAGCTGCGTGTAAATACTGGCTGCAGTATTTTAGAGTATAGTTACTTGATTTTTGTTTATTGTGTTTCTTTTTTTTCTTTGTATTGTCTTGTTATCGTTCACTTGTCATTCATTATTTTCGGTTTGTTTACGGCGCTAATTCTAAATGTTAATTAATACTGATGCAGACGAAGATGCATAACATAATTGTCCCTCTTCCACTTTCTGTCTCCCCCCTCTCTCTTCTTCATGGTCGACTTTTGAAATAAATTGTCTGTGCCTGAATGCTTGAGCTTTGCTGAGCTTTCCTGTTAGCAATGTGGTGTTTGATTTTCCAGCTGAGAGCCTGGTAGTGTCTGCGAGAGCTACTGTGGGAGAGCGTGCGCGACAAAATGAATGGGAGGCAAGTTCAAATGAGGCTTTGTGTCTGAATCCAGTTGTGTGTGTTTGAGAGGAAGAGTATTAGCCTTGTGTTTGTGAGCATGTATGTGCAATAAGCGCTGTTACCCTGATGCTCTTCCCTCCTTCTCCACAGAGAGAAGTGCCTTCATTCGCTGACCCCTGTGGCTGTTTGGCTCCGCTGAAGCCGCCTGTGCCTCTGCGCCTGTCCATGTCTGCTGGAGCTGCCAGCCACACCACAAGCACCAGGACTGCCATGATTGCCAGCCTCGTCCGCTGAGGCTGTCTCCACATTACTGACACCTCCCTCCTCCCCTCCATCCCTTCCTCTGTCTGCCAGCCAGACCTCTCTCCACCCATGCCACTCAGCCCTCCTCTGTGGAAGTCAAACACGCCACCTTTCTCCGCAGACAGAGGCCGATATTGAAGACACAGCGTTTTTATCGGCTCGTTTTAGCAGAAGAAGATTGTCTCTTTGCTCTCCCCTCCACCGGCCCCTCTCCCCCTCCTCCTCCTCTCCTGCTTTCTTCTCTCCTCCAGCCATGCATCTTTTCATCATGGGCCAACTCGATCGATAATGTGTTTTGCCATTCATCTCACCTGACAGTTCAGCTGAGGAGCAAGCAAGGCACAGGGAGAACTGGTGTGCATGGTGTGGGTGTTTGAAAGAGAGCGATTACAAAGCAGGTCTCTCTGGCTGTCAGCAGCCTAAGCCCTGGGTGACAGGTGCTGAAGGAGCCCCAAACAAACTCTTAGGATGGGCCACAGGTGGTAGACGACAGCAAGGCCTCTTAGGCTTAAATTCAGAGTCAGACCCTGGGGAGAAAACCTGTCAAGTCTGCCTTTTTCCCATGTCCTTTATTTGTACTTTCTCATCATTTGCCTCAGTGTTATTAGAAACATACAGAAATAGACATAACTGCATTTGCTGGATATCTATTACTCTTAATCGACCCCTCCTTCCTGGTTTAAAATGGCGGTGAATGTGACACCGATCCGGGACACAAAGTGGCTGACACTGGAGGTTTGTCGGGAATTCCAGAGAGGAACTTGTTCACGACCAGACAGTGAGTGCAAGTTTGCCCACCCTGCCAAGAGCTGTCAAGTGGAAAATGGCAGAGTCATTGCCTGTTTTGACTCTCTCAAGGTGAGTATGACAAACACCTGTGATGTTCAATCAGCACTGCCCTGTTTTTTTTTTTTTGTGGAGTTTTTATTTTTATTTTTGAGCTTATGCTGCTGACAAGGGTGGTCTGAGAATTTATCCGTTTGTTTAACTCGTCTACAAAATCGACACAAAATATTATTTTATTGCTGTGCTTCTTATGACTACATTTGGTTATACTTTGGCAATAGAATGTATATAGATCTGCATAAATACTTTTAAAAGTATGTTTGTGTGTCAGGGTAAGCTGAGATGAGGCCATAATCGCATTAACATCTGTGAATCAGACTCAGAGTTTCCTTTGCAGGCACATAACTCTGGTGCAGGACTGTTGGTTGGCACAAAGTTGCAAAGGATTTTGTGTGATCGTCACATCAACGGGCTGCATGGGAAATAGAGAAGTAGGACAGCATACTGTGTAATTCACGTTTTTATGTAAGTCTGTGGGTATATGTCTGTGTGTGTTATTTTGAGGTCATGCAGCACAGTGGGGTGTTCTCAGAAGGCTCTGTAATTTACTGTCTATTTTTGCCCTGGCACTGAGACAACACACTCCCACTATGCAACTCCTCTCTCCGAGACAGGGGAAGAAAAATCAAACGGTAGAGTGGATGGAAAGAGGGAGGAAAATGGACTGAGCTGAGATGTTGTGAAGAAAACACAAATACATATATTAAGGTATAATAAATGGGGCGAGAATTATTTATCCAATGCTTAAAAGAGATTAAAACGCCCTAGGCGCGAGTAAAGTTTTGATTAAAACTTCCAGAAGAAATGACACAGATATTTATGTCGCAGTGTAGCTTGTCACCAAATCTGTTTATAGGCTTTCAACCAATTTTATTTAATACATTTTGCAATAAGCTTAACTGCTTTTGTTGTCAGTGTAAGTGGTACGAAAGGTGGACAGAGGACAAAGGTTTGATTCTGGCGACTGGAGACATTGGAGAGGTTTTGCATCTTGACTCATGAGTGTTAGCTCACGGCAGCTAACCACTGTGGTTGGAGAGTTTTCTGATTTTGAGCCAGTTTTGAGCAGAACTGAATCTAGAGCCATGCTAAGATTAGTGATAATGTTTAATGTGTCTGCTTTACAGCTGCCCCCATCATTGTTTGGCATGTTAGCATACAAATGTTTGCCAGCTAAACACAAAGTTTAGCTGAGACTGATGGGAATGTTAATACTTTTACAAATAGAACAAAATCAGTCTAAACAATGTTCAGTCCAAACTAGAAACATCTGCTTCTTGGTGATTCTGGAGGAAATCACTAAGAAGACACAAAACTTACCCTACCACCATAGTGTTAGCATAGTTAAAGAATAAACACCTCATCTTGACATTATACTCTGTATATTGAAATGCAGATACTCTAGGGGAACAAATGCCAACATAAACATTTTGATATCTCAGATGTTATTAATTTGATAAGGAGATGCTGATGTAATTTAATTCAGGCCTTTTTCTTTTGATATAAAACACAGTTTTAAGGAGACAAAGTCAGGTGTGAACTTAGTTAAAGAAAAAGAAGAGAAAATAAGACAGTCAAGGAGGTAAATTTTGATAACACACATATGTAGGTGGAACAGCAGTGCAGTGATTAGCACGGTCTCAAAGCAAGAACGTCCTGGGTTTGGTTCTGCCGGTTTGCTGGGTTCTTCCTCTTGCAGTCAAAAAACACGTTAGGTTAAATATGATTCTAAGTGTGACTGTGAGAGCGAATGATTGTTTCTATCCACGCTCTACCCCAATGACAGCTGGGATAGGAATTCAATCGGTTAAGAAAATTGGATGGATGTATTCTTAAATTTGATGCTGCAAAATGTCATAAACACTCATACACATCGAATATGCAGTTCATTTTTTATTTGATCAACATTAACGAGATTGGGTGTAAAGGCTGTCCAGTGGCTGAGAGCCAAACATGATGGCTGAGAGGTTGTTTTGCATCGAAAGATCATAAAAGTGAACGTACACGGGATAAACACAAGACAAATGTACAACATGCACACACATGCCTCTAACTGCTTTTTCATTACTTCATATGTTTTATATGTGCTGAATGCAGAGCTATCGGTGAGGTACATCTCTATATTTTGGCTCCAGTGGGAACAATCGTTCTGGATCCTAGAGCTCTGTGTACTCTCTTGTGCACGTCTTGTAATTTGTCCCCTATCTGATTGGCAAGCAGGGTGTTATTCTGTGTAACTGGAGACTTGAGCTGAGAGTTAGTCAAGCAGTGCAGGCCTTGGTTTATACCTGGGGATGGATTTCTTGTTAAGCCAGGCACTGTGTTATTACAGTTATGGGCTGTTTGGCTGAAGCTAAGGTGGCTTGTGTGGGTTTAGTTGGTACAGGTAAGGCAAGAATGGATAAGGGGGGGCAGCTGGGGCCTTGTATGGATCATGAGAACAGACAGACAGACAGAGCTGGAGAGGGCAAGAGCAGGCGCAGCAGGGAATGCGCAAGGAAGCATAGCACTATGCACACAGCCCTTCCCTGCTCTCAGTGCCAGGGCATTCCACAGTCTACCTCCCTTCCCTGCCTTCATGACAGAATGATAGATCTGCTTTATCTGCAGATGAATTCATAATACATAGCCAGGCATGGAGAAGGGGCAAGGGGATAAGGGAAGGACAGGCAGGAGAATGTGGATAGAAAAATAGGAGTAAAGGGATGGATGGTGCTAAACGTGGCTTCCCACCCCTGGATAATTTTTCACACTACCTGCCCTTCGGTGCTTTTACAATGCAGGCTAGCAAAGGAAAGGAGGACTTGTAGCAGGAGAAATAGAAAGACGCATGGATAGCTTCCTTAATTTTATCTTCTTTATGTATTGAATCAAGTCTTTCTCAGATTCAGTAAATGCACATTTTATTTTCACATCAGAGCCTTGTGAATTCTTACCAGTTGGTCTCTTATGATAATACCTTTATTTATACCTATTTATACCTAAACTTCGTTCAGCCATTCAGCAATGTCACAAAAATAGGTTTTTGTCAGTGGTGAATATGGTGGAAAGTTCCATTTACGGGGCGTATAACAGAGGATGGACTGATAAAAGCAGACAGGAAATGAGGCAGAGGCAGAGGCTCTTTATGATTGGCCGATATTACAGTGAGACTGACCCTCATGGCCTGGACTCAAGTAACAAAGAATACGATGTTTACAAAGACATGAGGAATCTGTCTAGGTACACAGCACAACTTCAAAATGATTTTATTTAGTTTTAATTTGCCATTGGAAGAAGTAGTAATAATAATAATGGATTGGATTTATATAGCGCTTTTCAAGGCACCCAAAGCGCTTTACAATGCCACTATTCATTCACACACTGGTGGAGGCAAGCTACGGTTGTAGCCACAGCTGCCCTGGGGCAGACTGACAGAAGCGAGGCTGCCATATCGCGCCATCGGCCCCTCTGGCCAACACCAGCAGGGTAAAGTGTCTTGCCCAAGGACACAATTACCAGGACAGAGAACCCGGGGATCGAACCGGTGACCTTCCGGTTACAGATACGCTTCCCAACCCCCTGAGCCACGGTCGCCTATAAGTACTGGTAATGTAATGCATTGCTTCTTTACCAGTCTTCAAATGTTTTCAGCCATCATTCTGTTTAGAGGTTGTCTACGATAATAAATCAAACAGCATCTACCACTTTGTTCAAATACTCAAAACTCTTCTCTAATAGGTCATTTTTTCAAGTTTTTCAAATGAACCAGACGTGTCTACAACCCGAGTTCTCATTTTTAACAGTGAGTTTCTGTGAGTTGGTGTTCACTTTTGACTTTGCGTGCAGTTGTGTCGTATTGAAAAATTTCTCCGTTCAGCCTGCCAAGCACAGAAGTAGCTTGATGCCATGTCCTGGTGCAGAAATTCCCGTTTAGCTGTCATGGCATTGGAGTGACCTTGTATAATCTCTACTCTTAAAATTATTTGCATTTAAACAGAAAGAGATGCCAGATCAGGATGTACTCACGTGTGCTAAAGAGTCCGTTTCAGAAGATTTGAACAAACAATGTATTTTTGTAACTGTTTGAGAGAATGGAAAACAGTGGGATATGCTCTTTCTTTTGTCTCCTGCTGAAGGAATTCAACAGCTTGTTGCTATTAGCAGCTGGACAGAAAGCTGGTTTCACTGCAAGTGAATAAAAAGCAAACCTGGGGGCATTTAAGCTGACGAAATACAATAAACTTACCATTGGACTGTGATGGGAAACAGGTGAGAGTGAGCCAAAAAAGCCAAAGGGGTTCCGACTGGCTACTGATGACTGTGCTAAAATTATCTGACAGCGAGTTGACTTCCTCAGCAATTTTTTCTCATTAAAACTTATTTTTTCTATAAGAAGTTTAGAACCCTTTAAAGTTTGTGTGTGTTGAATAGCTACTTTCAAAGTTACAAAATGATACATTGTTGAAAATGTGTTCTATTCTTAAAAATCCATTATTTTAACAGGAAACACGAGGAAGTTTAGTTTTGCTCTTTGGGGAGCGGGAGTTTTTATAATCACAATTTCACTACGAAGATTTTTTTCATCTTGTACGGAATATATTGTTATTCCGTATTTACATGAATTCTAACAAGCCCGCTGAGGATGATCAAATTATTTGTTTCAAAGAAAACAACATTACACACACACACACACACACACACACACACACACACACACACACACACACACACACACACACACACACACA